TGGTCGGCGACTGGGTAGGCGTGACAGTCGGCGTCACCGTGGGCGTCACACTCGGCGTGGGCGAGGTAGTAGGCGACTGGGTGGGCGAGTTGGTCGGCGACCGAGTGGGCGACTGCGTGGGCGAGTTGGTCGGTGAGTTGGTGGGCGACTGTGTCGGCGTAACAGTCGGCGTCACTGAGGCGGTGGGTGACTGCGTGGGTGACTGCGTAGGGGATCTGGTGGGCGACTGCGTGGGCGACTGCGTGGGCGAGTTGGTGGGCGACTGCGTCGGCGTGACAGTCGGCGTCACTGTGGGTGTCACACTCGGTGTCGGGGATCTGGTGGGCGACTGCGTGGGCGACTGCGTGGGCGAGTTAGTCGGGGACTGAGTCGGCGTGACAGTCGGTGTAACCGTGGGCGTCACACTCGGCGTAGGCGAACTTGTTGGCGACTGCGTGGGCGAGTTGGTGGGCGACTGAGTGGGTGTTACGCTCGGTGTCGGGGACTGCGTGGGCGACTGAGTCGGGGTTACGCTCGGCGTGGGCGACCGGGTCGGCGACTGGGTCGGCGACTGCGTGGGGGTCACCGTGGACGTTACGCTGGGCGTTGGCGAGTTAGTGGGCGACCGGGTCGGCGAGTTGGTCGCAGACTGAGTGGGAGACTGGGTTGGTGAGCTGGTAGGCGTCTGGGTCGGCGTGACAGTCGGCGTCACGGTGGGCGTTACACTCGGCGTGGGCGACCTGGTCGGGGACTGGGTGGGCGACTGCGTAGGCGAGTTGGTGGGCGACTGAGTGGGCGTGTTTGTCGGCGACTGGGTCGGAGTCACGGTCGGAGTGACGCTCGGTGTCGGAGATTGCGTGGGCGACTGCGTGGGCGACCGGGTTGGCGTAACCGTGGGCGTCACGCTCGGCGTGGGCGAGTTGGTCGGAGACTGCGTGGGCGAGTTAGTCGGCGAATTGGTGGGCGTCTGGGTCGGCGTGGCAGTCGGCGTCACCGTCTGGGTAGGGGACTGTGTCGGTGACTGCGTGGGGGATCGCGTCGGCGACTGGGTGGGCGAGTTGGTGGGAGACTGCGTCGGTGTCACAGTGGGCGTCACCGTGGGGGTCACGCTCGGTGTCGGACTGCTCGTGGGCGACCGCGTAGGCGACTGGGTAGGCGAGCAGGTGGGCGACTGGGTAGGCGAGTTGGTCGGCGACTGGGTCGGTGACTGCGTGGGTGTCACTGTGGGCGTGACCGACGAGGTCGGCGAACTCGTGGGCGACTGCGTGGGTGACTGAGTTGGAGTCGAAGTCGAAGTCACACTGGGCGTGGGCGAGCGGGTGGGTGACTGAGTCGGAGAGTTGGTCGGCGACTGCGTCGGGGACTGGGTGGGCGTAACAGTGGGCGTCACGCTCGACGTGGGACTGCTCGTGGGTGACCGAGTCGGGGTCACAGTCGGGGTAACACTGGGCGTGCGCGAGCTGGTGGGCGAGTTGGTCGGCGACTGCGTCGGGGACTGGGTGCGCGAGGGCGAGCTGGTGGAGGACGGGGAAGGCGATCGAGTTGGGGTTTTGGTCGGAGTTATGGACGCCGATGGCGTGAGCGAGGCCGATGGCGTCGGCGTGACCGACGGGCTGCGCGAGGTGCTAGGCGACTTGGTGGGCGAGACCGTGCTGGTCGGCGATTGCGTAGTGCGCGTGGAGCTCGGGCTGGGCGTGCGCGATATCGTCGGTGTGCGGGACGGAGTGCGCGAAGCACTCGGTGTGCGGGACGGAGTACGAGAAGCGGTTGGAGTGCGCGAAGCTGGAGAGGCGGAGAGCGACAGAAAGCAACAAGCTCACGGTCAGATTCGTCCTCCAACAAGAACAAAGGAAAAAGAAAAAGAAAAATATTATATTCTTATTGGGGAGAGGGGGCGAACGAGAGGGTCGCGGGTCGCAGGTGCAGGTGATGTCATTCCAGTAGAAGAGAGGGTTGGTGCACGCCGCTTCCGTGGCCGGGTTGGGGCAGGCGCATTGACACGTCGCCGAGTTGAACGTCTGTTACATCCCACAAGAAATCGATTAAGAAAAACAAAAAAAAACAAACTGGGCGCTGTCGCCAAAATACCTGGGCGGAGTAGCGGCAAGTGGAGTAGCAGGGGATCTTTGTGGTATTGAGCGTGCAATTGGAGCTGGCGTGGATCACCACGTCGTTGTAGTCTTGATCACTGTAAATCGCTTCCCAATCGTCGAAGCCAAAGAACACGTTTTCCGTCGTGGGGTCCTGGTGGCCAAGATCGGGTGTTGATATAAAGTTAGGCCAATGTCGCCGAATGCTTCACAACAACAAACACTGCGACACAAGGTTTGCGGTGACCGAGATAGTTAAGGGGGGGGGGTGAAGCGCACTCTGAGAACGGCAACACTGCGACCGTAGGGCTTGAGTGTCGGATTCCACGCGGAGGTGTCGTACTTGAGGTTCTCCTCGTCGAGACTGTACAGTCGCAGGTAGCTGGTGGTACACTGGGCGTCGAGATCGAGGTAGAAGCCGATGGAGATAGACGAGTCGAACGGACCCAGCGTCACGGTCGAACCCTGGTAAAGACAGGGCTCTCGTTCGCCCGACAGGATGTCCTTGGTGACATCGTCGAACATGGTCACCTTGGTTCCAGCAATGATCTTCCCGCCGCGGGGTCCGTTCTTGTTGAACTGGAACCAACCAAGTCGATTTCGACTGGAGGTGACCGAACTGACGAAGGTGATGTTGATCGCGCAGGGTTGGGTGTTGGGCAGGAAGTGGAGGTTGGGGTCGACCGTGTTGTTGGCGACCCACTTGCTGGCCACTTTGCTGCCTTCCGTGAGAATCCCCGCGCTTATGATCCACGAGTAGAAGGAGTCGTAGGTCTCTCCGTTGGGCAGGGAGACGGGGAAGATGTTGGGGTTGTCGAGACCGCACGGCTTCGCGCAGGCTGCCCGGGCAGGCGAGATGAAGAGGGCGATCACGAAGATCACCAGCGCGGAATTGATGGTGATAGAGTACAGGGAACAAGACTTCATCATTTTGTTCTGTGTGACCACCCACCGCAGGATGGTACTAGTAGGGAGGTGAAGAGAGCGGACGAGGGAGGGGGGACAGCCCAACGGTCTCGAGGTGTGTGCGGGGCGGTTAGGATACAGAAGTGAAGAACAACAGCAACCTCGGTTGTCCTCACAGGAAACCGTTCACTTTCCAAAACCGGGAGGCGACTGTCCTTTTTCGTCGCCCGTCAACAGCATCTCAAGGAAGGGCCATCGTCAATAGACGTTGCATTTGCCCGCGCTGAGTCTCGTACGCAAGGTTTTTCAAACTGGCGTGCAGCACATTGGCGGGTGGCGTCAGACGGCGTCCCAGGTCATGGTGTGGGCGATGAAGGCCTCGTCCCTGTTGAGGCCGCCTGGAGCAGGCGGACCGAACATGTCGCTCGCGTCGTCGCCCGCGTAGAGCTCGTTCCTGTGAGTCACCGTACGGTTCTCGTAGAGGGGCGAGATGTTCATGACGTTGAGAGACGGCGCGCCCACAGAGAGGGCATCCGCGGCTGATATGCCGCTGTCCCTGCGGCGCCAGAGCATCAGCCCCGCTGCGGCCACACACCCAGCAAGAGCGATCAGCGCCAGCGGTACTGCAATTCCGGCCGCCGTCCTGCGGCGGTGCCGTTCCCCACGCGCGGGCTGGGGGTAGGTGACCGGGTGACCGATGGCGTGACGGAGTTCGACGCGGTGGTCGACGGCATGACGGAGTGGGTGGGCAAGGTGGTGGGCGACTGAGTTGGTGGGCGACCGTGTCGGCGACTGGCTTGCCGACTGGGTGGGCGACTGGCTTGGCGACGAGGTCGGTGAGTTTGAGTCGGGGTCTGGGTGGGCGTAACGGTCGGTGTGACCCTGCTTTGGTGGGTGGGCTGACATATTTTGTGGGCTTGTTCTACAGATAGAAGAAAAGATGAAGGCCAAGCAAGGCCATATTCACATTGAAGTGGAGGTGGTGTGAAAACAATACATGGAGTTGAGTGCAGGACAAGTGCATAAACATAAAACAGCTCTGACAACTGTCCTTTTACAGCATGAAGAGCATTCAAAAAAATTCAAAAAGTTGTGGGTTATTGGTTCATGTGTTCAGGTTTGTACCTTGTGAAGAGGTACTGACCACCCTTTTTTCGATTGCAGGTCCTTTTTTGTCTCTTTCCTTACGGGGCCACTAGCTGTGCATCAGCGCTACAATGGCAAATCACTTCACCCGTCGGACTGGTATCTAGGATCGATCGGCCGCCCGGTGGTGACATTTCGTCTCGTCGTTCGGCCGGGCGGGGTCGGCTAGGCGGTTGGCCTTGGTGTAGAAGACGGAGTCGATGACCAATAGCAAGCGTGGTCATTTTTCGAACGCCTTTTTCCACATTAATTAACCCTGGTCTCTGGTAGGAGGGACAGAAGTGGCGAGCCTCGCTTCCTTCATCCTTCATCTTTGCAACATATTGCCTGTTGTGCTCCCTTGCGCCCTCGGGTTGAGCGTGCGGCGGACCGGCCCAGACTGACGCGGAAGGGGAGAAAAGACCGATATGTTCAATTTTCAAAATGGAAATGCGAAGCAACTAAAGAAGAGAGAGCGGGTGGTGCGCGAGATCTGGGAGACAGAGGTGGGCTACGTCCACGATCTTGAAGTCGTACAAAAGGCAACCCTCTCTCATCTTCTCAATTGTTGAAAATTGGCTTCTTTTGGGATGGTAGCAAGTGATTTGCTAACAAATCCCTCCTACAGATTTTCATCAATCCGTTGCGAGACGCCTCCATTCTCTCAAGAACGGAAATCCCCCAGATCTTTGGCAATCTCGAGGTACCCAACGATTTTTTAATATTATCTTATTTTAATTCTTCTTTTAGGATTCTTCTTGGTGTGTTCTGGCAGCCGCTCGTATCTGCCTGCTACTTCATACTTTGATTCCTCTTTTTATCGGGGCGGGGGTACCTCTCGAGATTGCCAAAGATCTGCTGCCATTTACAAAGGTCTTAAAAATAGCAAAATTATTTTTAGCATAATTATTTTTTTATTTATTGTTGTTATTATTTTGCGTTTTTTGCCTTACACGGACCACGTTGGTGGATGGTCTGGTGCTACAGGTGCTGCACCAGTACAACGCGCAATTCCTCAGCTCCCTCAACGATCGCCTTTCCGACAGGTGCCTTGTCTCCTCCCCCTCCTACACCGCTTGCTTGTCTTGTCACAAGACGGCCAGCACCTACCTAGCCACCACCCTCACTCACCCACTACTGTAACATGTCACTGTTATAACAGCCACAATTATGAAGACATCAACGACCTCTCGCTGGCCAACATCGGCGACCTCTTCATCCAAGTGGTACGGCACACACATGCGCCAAGATCCCTTCTTCTTCGCGTTCTCTATATATATATATATTATATTTCTATCTTTTAATTGGGTTACGTGATCATCAGGCCACGCCCAACTTCAGTTCCATGTACAAGACCTACTGCAAGAACTACCGGGCCTGTCTCGACGCCCTTCGCTATTTCAAGGACCGCATCCCCGAATTCGACCCCTTTGTCAGGGTACGGCGCCGCTCTTGTTCCACGTCGCTATTTTAAATTATATTTGTATCTGTACATTCTTTATTAATGATTTATTATTCTCATGATGTATTTTTCTACATTGTAATTATCTGCAGAAATGCGAATTGGCTGAAGAGTGCAAGGCGCTCGACCTGGGATCGTTCCTCATCAAACCGGTCCAGCGAATATGCAAGTATCCGCTCCTCCTCCGAGTATGTTTGCCACCACCATCGTGATTCCGCCCATGCTACTTCCAAATTTGCAATATTCACACACGCACACACACACAACACATACACACAAGGAACTTCTCAAATGCACGAGCGAGAACCACTCCGACCACGAAGACCTGGTCAAGGCCATCGCCATCTTCGAGGAACTCACCGCCCACATCGACAACGCCAAGGAGGTACTGCTTTTGTTTTGCCTGCCTGTTGTAATGCGCGAGACTCACTGCTGTTCACACACACACACACGACACACACGACACACACGACACACACGACACACACGACACACACGACACACACACACACACACACAATCGCACACGCAGGACACCGAGAACTTTCCAGATCTTGAGCGCATACAGGAGAAGCTAGATGGCTTTCAGGCACGTGCCTGTCGTGTTTGTCGTGTCGTGCCGCGTGGAGCGAAGGAAGTTGAGCTGACGCGAGTCTCATTTTCTCAACGTGTGCGTTCCAGGTGTTGACGCCTGGGCGTGTGTTCATCAGGGAGGGGTACCTCATGAAGCTCAGCCCGCGCAAGGCGGACTACTACCAGGAGCGGTATCTGTTCCTCTTCAACGACGTGCTCGTCTACGCGCGACCCAAGAAAAACCTCAAATTCCAGAAAGGTGCTCGCCCACGAGTCCATCTTTTAATTGGCCACAATTTATCAGAGCACACGCACACGCACACGATGCACACACCAACGACTCACACGACACGCACGACACGCATTCAAATGTACATTAGGCAAACGGTTCGAGTACCGAGGAGCTATTCCGCTGTCGATTTGCCTCGTGCGAGACCTCGAAGGCAGTCAGGTCGAAGAAGGTATTTGTCTCTTTTCTTTTGAAAGCAGTATTTGTTTCGTTTTCGTTTTCGTTTTCGTTTATTTTGTTGGTTGGGTTGGGTTGGGCTGGGCTGAACGCCGCGGGCTCGAGCAGAAGCGGCGGGGGTGAGGCAGAGCCGACTCCACGGCAAGAAGAAGAGCCTCAGCAAGCGGGACGTCAACGAACTGTTTGGCAGCGACTCGTCGGCCATCAAGCGCAAGTACGTCCCTTTACTACTATACTACTCCAACTCCTTGTGTACAATTCTGTTTATTTGTGTTGTTTTCATAATAGATATTATCTATTTATCTAATAATTATCTAGATTATCTATTTATTCAACTCACTCCTTCTTCCCTCTCTCGTCGACGTCTCGCCCTCCAAAGGGGAATCAACAGCGGCCGCATGGAGCCGTCGAGTCTGGACACGTCGTCCAGCATCACTCGAAAGTACGTGTGATCGTCCCTCTCGGCCTTTGATGAGGCGCCACTCACCGGTGTGTGCGTGTGCGGAGCGTGGCTTGGTAGACGACACGCGTTTTCCATCGTCCGAATGGACACCAAGAAGACTTACGTCATGCACGCCAAATCGCCGGAGGACAAACACCTGTGGCTTTCTGCCATCGAGCAGGTATTTTTTATTTTTATTGTTGATTATAACTACTATTGCGACTAAATCAAATAGACTAAAAGCAAATAATAATATTTTTATTATGTATTTTTCATTTTTAATGACGAATTTTATATGCTGATTTGTGTGGTGGCCTTAGGTGATCAACGAGCTGCTGGAGAAGAAGTTCGTGGGCGAGAAGCCCATGACGGGCGCGCCCTCGCCGGCGTCGATGCTGATGATGAGCGCGGGCGCGGTCCTCCTGGACAACCCGCCCGCCGAGATGATCAAGCGCGAGGTGGCCTTCTCCAGCTCCCTGCCGGCCGCCTCCGCGCTCACCGCCGCCCTCGCCTCCCCGGCCGCCCACCCGAGCGACGACTCCGCCTCCCCGGCCTACGTCCCCACGCCCCGCAGCAACGAAGGTACCACATCAAATTAGTAGGTCCCATCACCATTCATCTCACGGCGATCGGGGGGGGGGGCAGCAGCGGCCGTCTCGCCGCCGCCGTCGCAGTCCGGGGCCGCCTCGCCCACGACGCTGGCCTCGCCGCCCTCGTCGTCCGGCACGCCCGTCTACGGCACGCCGTCGTCGACGTCGACAATGGCGACAGGAAACCCGCTGGCGCTCTCCGGCAACACGAACCCGACGGCGGCGCTGATGGCGTCGATGGGCGCCTCAACGGCCGCGCAGCCGCCGATGAACAAGGGCGAGGTCATGGAGAGCCTGCGCCGACAGAACAACCGGCTCAAGATCGTCAACGAGGAGCTGGAGGGCCGGCTCCAGTTCGCCGAGCACGAGCTCAGGCGCGAGCGCGAGGAGGCGCAGGCGGAGATCGCCGACCTGCAGCGGCAGCGGCGCGAGCTCGAGGCGCTGGTCGACTTTCTGGTGCAGGTCACGGGCAAGACGCGGGACGAGCTCAACGAGATCCGCCAATGGGCGCTCGAGGAGGTCGAGGACTCGTCGGACGAGGCCGAACCGGACGACGAGGGGCGCGAGCGCGAAGAGCCCGAGGCCACTGTGGTGGAGGCTGTGGCGGAGGCGGAGGCTGATATGGAGGCGGAGGCGGTGGCGACGCCAAAGAACGAAAGCGACGGCGGAGAGGATGCGCAGCAGACAAAGAACGAAGAAAGCGACGTGGTGGAGGCCGAGAAGACCGAGGAGCAGCAGGGAGGCGTGCCCAGCGGCGAGAGCGAGGGCATCAACGAGAAGAACGAAAGCGAAACCGAGAGCGAGAGTGAAAGCGAAAGCGACAATGCGAGCGACTCAGCCAATGAAAACATCGTGGAAGAACCACCGCAGCGGGCGGTGGACGACGAGAAACTGGCCGTACGGGAGATCGCCGCCCCCGAGCTGCAGGCGACCGCCGAGGCCCAGCAGCAGCTGCTGCAACTGCAACGAGCACGGGACGAGGAAGAGGCGCGGAAGACGTCGCTCGGGCGGAAGTGGGAAGAGCAGGCCCGCCGCGTCCAAATGGAAAGGGAACTCAAAAACCGGGAGTGGTCCGACAAGAAGCTGGGTACGGCCGCACCCGCTTCCCCGCACACAGCCCACAACGCACACGACGCCTTGTTTGACTGGATTTGACTTTGTGTGTTTGAAAATGGGCGCGAGAGCAGATCTGATCAAGATCAGGCATCCGTCGGTGCGCATCGCGGTCCCGCTGGAGGAGATCAAGAAGCGGTTCGCGCAGGAGGAGCTGGAGAAGGAGATCGAGAAGTACTTCCCTCGCCACCTGCTCCAGCCCGGCAAGCCCTCGGCCTCCTCCACCTCGCCCCGGTCGCCTCGGTCGGAGGCAACCGCCGCGGCTGTGTCGACAGCATCGCCTACACTTTCGACGCCCGCCGTCGAGGGTGACAACTCCGAAAAGAAAGAAGAACGAACGTTGGCTCCGGCGACGGCGATCGTGGAAGCGGAGGAGGCCGGGGCGCGCCCGAGCGAGAAGGGCGGAGGCATGGTGGGCTACGTGTCGAAGCTGAAGAAGAGCAACAACGACTGCAGGCCGGGCACGTTCGGCTTCAATGCCATCCCAGTCGTCGTCGGCGAGCGGGAATCGAACGGCGGCACGGCGACTGCGGCCACTCTCAAGGGCTCGAACTCGTTCCGGCTGGGCAGCTACCGGCGGGAGCGAGACAGCGGCAGCGGCGCCGTTGGTGTCGACAGCGACAAGCGACAGTTGTCGACAATCGGCGAGCTCAAGGCGGCTGATGACGTCCGCAGCAGCACCACCACCACCAGCGCTCCGACCGTCATCGCGGCGCAGCTGGACTTTATTCGCGAGGAGTTCGGCGGCGGCGCCGGGGCGAAGAGCGAAAGCGTCGACGAGTACGGGGTGGTGAGCGACGCCGCGGCGGAGGTGGAGACGAACGAAGCCGAACTGCAGCGGATGGAGCTCCGGTACCGGCTGCAGGCCGACCGCGAGGTCGCCAACGGCAAGTACGCCCGGCGGGTGGGCGTCCTCTACAAGAAGGAGCGCAACGGCGACAAGTGGTTCGGCTGCAAGTTCGTGCTCGGCAAGTACTCCCTGAAGTACTTCAAGATCCGGGCCGACTGGGTACGCACACACGCACACGCACACGCACGCAACACTTCACCTTGAGATTGCTATGTACTCAACGACACGACACATGACATACGCAGGAAACAGCCGAGGCGTTGGGCGAGATCTCGCTCGTGCGGGCGCGGGTGGACTGCTGCCCGCACGGGAAGGACAAGGGCTTCTGCTTCCTCTTGCAGTCGCCCCTGGAGACCGCCTTCCTCGCCGCCGACAAGGAAGACGTACGAGCTCCCTTTCTATCCTTATTATTTTCAGTGTGAAATTATTATAATTTTGATATCGTGTTCGATTGTTGAATGGTTGGTTGGCTGGGGGCTGTACATGTACAGGCCCTGCGGGATTGGTTGGAGGCCATCATGGGCTGCATTCGGGATCTGCCCGTCGGCCTCCGGTGGTCCTTCCGTCGTGACGACTCCTTGGTCAAGGCCCAAAGCGACGTATACAACACCGCACACGCACACGCATACGCACACGCACCACCGCACACGCACCACCCCCACACGCACATCAGCGACACCTGGTGCTGACTCGCAGCTCTGTGGCACGGCGATTTGCAGCTGATGTTGAAGGAGAGGATGGAGAAGCGGGAGTGGTTGATGAACGAACGCCAACGCACCGGGTCGATTCCGATGCCACCCACCGCTGCCGCCCTGGCGACACCCGGCGCCACCACCGGCGAGCCGTCGGCCGCCTCCGAGCAACCCACAAATGACCAACAGCGGAAGGAGGGCTACGCCTACGTCAGCACTCCCTCCGACTCTGAAGGCGACAGCGGCAAGCTGCTTTACTGCGTGTGTTGCCGCAACGGAACCCTGTCCACCTACGCCAGCTCCAAGGTACAACGAGACACGACACGCACACGACACGACACGATACGACACGACACGCACACGACACGCACACGACACATGGCACACAACATGAACGACACGACACGCACACGACACGCTCCTAACATGGGTGTGGTGGATCGAGCAGGCGCTGACGACGCCCGTGGCGGAATACGAGCTGGCGGGGAGGAAGCTGCAGGCGCGGGCCAGCGCGAAGGACTACGCCTTCACGCTTCGGGTGAGTCACGAAGCTGAGGAGCAAGAGGAGGCGCAGGAGGTGGTGACGCTTAGGTTCCTCAACGAAGCCGAGCTCCGTGCGTGGCACCGTTTTGCGCTCTCCGTTGCCGCCGCGCCAACCACCACCACGAACCCATGATGGCGAGGTGATGGTGATGTAGCCTTCTACTGGCGTTTGTCAAACGCCAAAGACATGAGTGTACAATACGAAACAGATGACAACAACAGAACGAAGAGAACAAGAGGGCCACACTTATTGGGCAACAAATAAATCAGGAATCTGTAAAAGATCCACCAAAGATCAGACGCAGTTTCATTCACTTCCATCCTTGCCGGCGTAAGAAGTATACTTCTCTTTTGTGATTCAAAGCTGATGGAACAAGAAGGCAATGATGCGGCCGAGAAAGTGGTGGTGAGGTCCGGATCTTCTGCCTGTCCCCATTGCCACAAGCGCCTACTACACCGCCACCAATCGATGGAGAATCACTTGCGGATTTGCCACCCCAACGAAACGCCTGTCGCTTCTTCACCCTCCACTTCTTCCACCTCTTCAACCACATCAACAACTTCTTCGAGCACTCTCTCCCAATCGCACGATTCGTCCACAAGTACCACATCATCGAGAAAGAGGAAGGGCCTGGCCTCTTCCGCTCCAACCCCTTCGAAGATCAATCATATAGTGATAAACGTGGAAGAAGAGGATGAGGAAGGTGAGAAGGAGAAACGATTGGAGGTTGGAGAAGAGGAGGAAGAGCGACTCGTGCCGCTTCGTGCGGCAAGAAAAGGCACCAAGCGAGCTCGTACGTCCTCTTCGCGTAAGGACAAGACAACCATCAACGTGGCCATCAATACTACGACCCTGCTCACGCCAGCCCAAACCACCTCTACTGCGCCACAAAACCTGCGCATCCGGGAAGACGAGCCGCGAGCGACGGCACCAACAACCACGCCTACCAGTACAACAAGGCCCAATGCCCGTCGCTCCGCCGAGACTCGAGGAACAGAAGATGGTACACCCCATCTTGCACATCTTTCGCTTTTCGACGAATTATTTCAAGGCCTGACTGTATTTTATTTCACTCTTTTCCCTTTCATTTTCGCGTCTCAGCCAAAAATACAACCGCGACCAGCTTGTCTGGAGAGGGATCGCTGTTGGATTCGGCGGTGTGCCCCATCTGCAGCCACCGCCTGGAGACGCAAGACTCCGCGCGTATCAACCAGCACATCGACGAATGCCTCACCCGCTCCATGCTCATCCAGGAGCGCGACGCCCACAACGCCGACCGAACTGCTGCTTCTGCTGCGCCGCCTGCGGCTCATCCCCCGCCTCACCTCATCGCTCCTACCACTACAGCTGCCGTGTCGGCCTCCGCGCTCGGTTTCGATCCGATGCCAGATGCGAGAGGCGCAGGCAGAGTCACCACGGCCACTCCCCTAGCGGCAGCAGTGCCTGTGCCGTACGTCCGTGTACTGGGTAAGACCTGCTCGTGCCCGTACGGCTGCGGCCGGGTAATGGCCTTTGACAAGCTGGGCAAACACGCCAGGTACCGCTCTGCCGTAGCTCCACCCACCACCCACCACTCGTGTGTTAATGACGTCGACGTGACCTCTCGCCCGCAGGAACCACCACGCCGGCGACGGTCAGGCGCTCGAGTGCCCCATCTGTGTTTCGATTACGGTTCGGCTCCTTCCTCGATATATCGCAACCGCCTTGGAGCCAACTCGGTGTTGATGACTTGGCCGCTTTCTTTCCCTGGGTATGTGGGTCCAGGGTTTGGTGGGCGTGGTGGAGGAGGACCTCTTGGAGCACCTCAACGTCAACCATGACCCGCGGTACGCGGCCAAGCAGAGTAAGCAGCGACGGGCGCGAGGTCGGGGAGTACACTCATGGAAGCCGCCCGCGCCAGACGGCCGCCACCAGCCCACGCCCGTGGTCGTGGGCGCCGCGGTCCTCGGATCAGCTTCGGCGTCATCACCTTCGCCGCTGACGATTCGACTGCCCCAGGCGGCGAGGCTAACTTCTTTCGGCACCACTGCGCACCACCACGACCCGTCGGCCATGGAGGCTTCAGGGAGCGTGGCCAATGTCTTCGCCACCCAGCCGCTTTCCACTTTGCTGGCCAGCACCCCCACGGTACGACCGCCGCCGATTTCGTGTCTCGCTCCATCACCCCTCCCCTCTCCGCAAACCACAACCGTTGCTGACTTTGCAAACCACCCCGATAGCAAACGAGCGCCGAGTTCGCAAGCACACGGGTGCTCTCGGCCGAGTTGCCCGAGGACAAAGCGGAATGCCCCATTTGCTTTGAGAACTTGACCGTCGGTACCAATCACCTCCGGTCGCGCACTCAAGCAAGAATGCTTCCATCTCACCCTTTCTGTTTTGCTGTCAACTGCAGGGGCCAAGGTCTCGTACCTGCAGTGTCTGTGCATCTTTCACGAGTGCTGCATCCAGTATGTGCAATCTACCCTGCCCACCTGCTCCCCAGCTGCTCTGCTCACGTTTATTCCCTCCCCTTCAACCAGAGCGTGGTGGGATAAGCACAAGCGGCTGGAGTGTCCCACACACCTGCAAGATTGAGTTCTCCCCACCTTGTACATTTCTCTTTTTGCTCCTTGTTGGTGCAGTAGGAGCAAAGGTAAGGACTCAAGCAACCCTCAGCAGCAGGCAATCTTCAGGGGTTGCGCCAAACCACCTCAAACGAGCTGCTGAAAGAATTACGAAACAAGCAAGGCCTGTGGCCCAATGGAAAGGCGTCTGACTACGAATCAGGAGATTCTGGGTTCGACCCCCAGCAGGCCTGAAGCTTCTCTTTTTTTTCCCAGACGGTCAGCATTAGCTTTCCCATTAATTTACTTCGCAGTGAGTTGTTTCTCTTACTGCGCAGCAACACAGAGTTGTTTCTGGGTGTTGGCAAGGGGCCCATCCACGTGGCCCAGCCTCGTGGCCCATCCACGTGGCCCAGCCCTCTTAATTCATAATTTACGTAATATAATTTATATTTCTTTTTAACACACCAAAAGTATGGACCACGCGCTGGCGCCAGCGCGGCAGGAGCACGTCAAGCGGCTGGTGGTGCAAGCCTGCTGTGAGGGCGGAAGGGAGCCGGCAACATTGCGTGAGATCCGCGAACGATACTGGCAGCGAGTAAAGAAGAAGAAATCGAAAATCAACAAATCTGCAGCTGCTGCGGTTGAAGAAGAGGCATCTGTGGAGCTGGAGGAGCTGTTCCGGTGGACCTTCATTGAAGATGGTCCGCACGCTGGCCTCGCCTTCCTGGACCGCCACCCAAGTTACACCACAAACGATCGTGCCAAGGAAGATGCAGAGGCGGAAAGGGCTTTCGTCAAGGCTGCCGAGGTGCTGGTCGTGGTGTGGCGTCATCACCTCCTCGATCGAGCTTTGCTGAGCTCCACGGCGAAGGAGACGCTACTCGCCTTTTTCCAGCGCGTGTGGCCCAGGGCTCTTGCCGCGTGTCGCCGCCTCAACAACGCCGCCGCCACTGCCTCGCCCGCGAGGAGGCGCACGAGCGTACGGGTGGCAGTGCTGCTGCTGACCGCCAGTGCTGTGCTCATCTCCCATTTGGCACGCGACGACTTTGTGGGCCTGGACAACTCCTCCACCTTCTGGGAGGAATTGGAGCACCGAGTGCTTGACCACCACGACCAGGATGTAGTGTCAGGTAGAGATAGAGAAAACCTTCTTGTAGGCGCGCTTGTGTGAGGCTGTGTGCAGAGTGAATTGTTTACTGTCGCACCACCGCACACACACCACCGCACACACACACACTAATGCGCCCAATACTGTGTGCAGCTGGGTTTCAGGTGCTGATGCGGGCTCAGGATCTGGCGCGTGGCTTGGGGCTGGAGCTCTCGGCAACACGCCTGAAGGTTCGCCTCCCAGCCCCATGCACGCCAAATAACTCACGTTCCGTGTCATGTTGCGCGCAATGGCCCATATCAGCTGCTTCTTTCGCTGCTCCGCCACGGGGACGAAGGAATGCGGAGCCGGGCGATCGTCAGGTGCTATAGTGAGGGCTGCTATGACCGGGCCATGCAGGGACCCATCAACGAGGTGGCCTAGCCCTCCCACAAAGGAGTTGGACTTCATTTTGAGTGGCCACGAACTGGACAATGGCCATTTTGACATGTGGGTGGTGCGGGGGGGTGCAGGCTCTGATGGCACGATTCGAGCACGAGGCGTCGCCCAAGCTGCGCCACCAGATCTACCGCACCCTGGTCGATTTGACCGAGGCTTTCAACCTGGGCGAAGGCGCCGACACGGCGGCCATGAACTTGATCCTGATGGGACTCCAGGTATGCACTCCAACTACTACTACGCCAACGTTGGAGTCGTCGGCATGAGCAACACTGTGAACAATCCCGCCCTGCGCCACGCTTCATGTAGGATGAGGACTCGGATGTGGCGACCATGGCGAGGGAACTCTTGACCGAGGCGAGCGAGACCGCCCAGCTGGACTCGCTCATCTCTGCAAACCTCCCACGGTACGCTGTTCAATCAAATCAATCATTTTCAAAACCATTAACAAAACTATCATTAAAATCATTAACAATAGTTTAATAATATTTCACCGTGGTCGGGCAGGCTGGTGGAGCTGCTGGTGAACCAGCTCACCATGAGGAGAGCCGAAGTCAAGAGCCTTCTGGGCCTCGCGGTCGATCACATCGCGACCAGCATCCACCACTCCTCCGTTCCCTCGCCAACAATGTTGGCTCTGCTGCCACAGGAGCTGCAGGAACGCATCGCGCTCGCGCTCGCCCGCTACAGTAAGACCGTAGGTGCGTTCTACAAGAGCGCGCCTGGTTCCGCTCGCAAGCAAGATCTGATGGTTGTTTGGTGCCTGTTGCGCGTGATGTGGGCGTTGTGTGCGTGTGCGCGTGGTGTGTGTGTGTGTTTGTGTGTGTTTGTGTGTGTGTGTGTGTGTGTGGTCGACATGTAGGGCAGAAGCCTCTAAAAAGCGCGAGCCAACACGAGGACCAAGACCTCCAGGACGCGCGGGACGCATCTGCGACGTGCATTGAGCGTCTTGCCGAAAATCGTGGCGGGGTGATCGGCCAAGTGAAGCAAATAGTGACACAACGGTGGCAGCCACACAACACGTGGCAACTGCGGTACGACGCGACCACGACCACGACCACAAGACACGACACATACTACGACACAAAGAATTCTTATCCGACCGACCCAACAGTGAGAGCGCCATCTACCTGCTGGGCTTCCTCTTCCCCCTCGCCGCTCAACTGAATGTATGCCTCGGCGACGACGTGCAGCAGCTCCTGCCCGCTGCCCTGCGCGACCCTCATGTGCGCCCAACGCCCTTCGCACGATTATTTAATATTTATTTATTTATTCATAATTATTGTTATAACCATTATTCATTATTGTTTTTTTTTGTTTGCAGGCGAGGATACGCGAGACCGGCTGCTGGGCTGCTCAGCGCCTCGCCGAGGCCCATGAAGGGTCCGGTGAGCCGGATGGCATTGACGCCCAATCGGTTCTGGAGCCGCTCATGGCGCTGATGCTGGACGACGACGCTGGTGTGTGCAAGGCCGCGCTGCGCGCGCTTCATGCGCTTGTGGAGGAGTGGGTCGGGCCGGAGCGGCCGGACGTGCTGCCTCAGTTGATGAAACGATGCGTGGAGGTCTGGGACAAGCTACCAGTACGGATCAGTCCACACCCACCAACACACAACCACACATATATGACACTCACATATTTATATACATTCTCACATATTTGTATATATGTGCGGTTCCTGTTCGCAGGCCTTGCGAGACACTGTGGGTCTGGATCTTGTGTCCGCGTGCATGTGCTTCTCGCCGGGCAACATAGGTACGCCTGTGCTGATTGGTGTGTGATTTAATATATATTTATATATATATTCTGAATATGAAGAGGAATATACGACAAGCCTGATCCTAATTCGTACAATTTCGAACTCGGCAGAGGAGGAACGTCGGCTGGCGTTGCTGGTCGTCGCCGCCCTGGACCGCTGGGACCTGGACGACCTGCGTCGTGTCGCCGCGCTGCTGTCCCACGTCCGGACCTGCCTTGACACACGTACGTACCGATGGCCTCAGCCCCCGGGGCTGTGCAGCGCTTCGCCCAAATGGGGGGGGGGCAAGTGCGCACTCACTGAGACCGCCACCCTCGTCGCGTGGTGGTCGCGCAGTCGGGCGCGAATTCGAACCGTTGGTGGAGCGGGTGGCCGGGCGGCTTCGGCAGCTCATCGACCACGCACTCGCTGCGCTTTCCCCACACCAGCAGCAGCAACGCACAACTGATGGGTTGGACATCGGCGAGATGCAAAGCCGCAGGGAGGGTCCGGCCCTCAACGAGGGCCTGTTCCTGTGCGCCGAGCTGTTCGTCCGGGGGCTGGACCCCTCGCGCTACATCCCCGAGTCGCTCCTCGTCTCCTTCGCGCTCGCCACCATCAACGTACGTACCCCACATTCCTTCGACCAAACCACAGAATTCGCGCTTCTTTCGTAGGCCACAAGCATCGCGCACTGACGCTTCTTCCTTCGCCCCCGTGTGCCTCGTGTCGTGACGCCTCAATAGTACAAAAACGTGCGTGAGCAGGGCGGGTGCGGTGCATTGCTGGGCAGCGTGGCCGCGCACAAGCCGCACCTGCCGGCTGTCGAGGAGGCCCTCCGCCAAGCCACGGCAGCCACGCCCGTTTGCCAGTGGAAGTCCGCAGGGCTCCTCGCCGCCATTGGTATGCATGCGTGACAGACATTCCAACCCCCCCCCCGCGTGCAAGGCTCTATTCTAATCTGTGTGGTGGATCGATCAATAGGTCGGTTGGCCGGGAACGTGCGTGGCCTGGAGCTGCAATGGGTCGCCCCGTTCTGGCACGAGTCGGCGTTGTGGACCCGGCGCCAGCGGCACGACGCGGCGATCATGGCGTTCCAGTTCGGTCGGCACTACGCCCATGTCGTGCCGGACGTGGTCCTGGCCAAGCTCGTCGCCCTGCCACCTGGACTCCTCGACCGAGGCAACAACGAAAACGAAAGCGACAGCGAAAGCGAAGACGAAGACGAAGACATGGACGAGGGCGATGAAGTGCTGTTTTACGACGACGCGCGCAGCGAGAGCCTGGAGGAGCGCAAGGCGGCGGTCATCGAGGGGCTGACCAATCTCATCCTCGAGTTCGCTGTCGAGCGCAAGCTGCTCAGCGACACCACAAATTATCATGGCGACGACGACGATGATGACGATCACGACAGGCCCAAGAAGAGGCGGCGTGTGGAGTCTCAGAACAAAAGCGACGACGACGACGACGAAGCCCCAGAGGTCAGAATTTCGGCCAGCCGGATCCTCCTGCTCTACGTCCGGTGCCTCCACTGGGTCGATGATAGCGTTGACGGCGAGGGCGATGCGCGAAGGGCGAGGGTGGCAAGGGCGTTGCGGGCGCTGGCGGAGCTGGTGTCGGCCGACCAGGTGGCGCGGTGCTTCGGCGGAAGGAGCACGAGCGAGCGCCAGGCGTGGGCCACCACGGTGGCCAAGTACGATACCAACGATAGTGAGCTGGTGCCCGCCATTCTTGGCAAATGATGACGCCGCGGAGGACCATGGTCGGTGATGGTGGTTAAAAAAGGAAGTTGGTCAGATTGCCCTCTGCCGGGTTTGAACCAGCGACCTCACGATCTTCAGTCGTGCGCTCTACCAGCTGAGCTAAGAGGGCGGATTGAAAACGATCTCCTCCTATCTGAGAATCTCAAATTCTTTGAAGGACATCCAAGATAGGGCCTCTCATGGCGTCTTGTTGACAAGGACACTTCACCATGAAAGACTAGAATCCACCCTCAAAGTACATACTCTTTAAATAAAATATGTCAACCAGCTTGAATTTCTCAGTGAATCAATCTGCTGGATGTCCTTACAAATAAGCCTGGGATGTGGTTGTCTGGTGGCTGTCCTGCTTACACCCACCCTGGGGTGCTGCACACAGTGGGTTTGAAGCATAAGTTCATCCAATCACAAGAAAGCCCAGATGTCAAAAGGGCTTTTCCACTGCCAGAGAAACCTGAGAACCATAAATGTTACTGACAACACCACAGCAGATTGGTTAAAAGATCAGCCATTGTAAAACTAAGCTGACAAATATAATTACCTGCAAGTAGGTGCTGCCAAGGAGGGTCAACTGGCAGAACAACATCAGCACCCTGTGACAAGGCTGGATTGGTTTTATTTGGTTTTTTATCCACAATTAAGGATGGATAAGGATTTGATTTGAATGGGTATAAAAATCATCTGTCATCTGCCAACATGGGTGTAAAATCATCTGCAAATTGGCTAAAATATCATCTGTCATCTGCAAAATGGCCACAAAATCATCTGTTGTCTGCAAAAATGGTCATATCATCATCTGCAAAATGGCTACAAAATCATCTGTCATCTGCAAAAATGGTCATAAAATCATCTGTAAATATCCAAAAATTCAACTGTCATTCATTACCCACCACAATTAGCAAAAACAAAACAACAAATTGTTAAAAATAACAAAGATACCACAAAAACCTCCCACTGCTGTCGACAGAAAGCTGCTCCTGCCAAGTGGTGGGTCAAGGAGCTGCTGGTAATGCGCTAGCTCTCTGCGCGGGGTGGTGGTAAGGTTTCTTTGTTTGTGTTGCTTGGTGTGACCACAGCGAGCCATTTACTTGGCGACAGCAAAGCCGAGCTGCTTGTTGCCAAAGTCGAACTTGGTGTAGTAGGGACCCAGGAACACGTCGCCCATGATCCAGAGGGGACCATAGGGGGCCGGGATGTCGAGGCCGATGAAGCCGCTGATGCACGTTTCCTCGGGACCCATGCTTTGCTACACGAGCGCCACACACACGCACGCACGCACACACGCCACGCACACACCAACGCAACACGAACAGGATCGTGAGTATCGTCGCAGAACAGGAATGGTCGGTGAGCCCGGGCGGTACCTTGAGGATGTAGTCCTCGGGCTTGAGGGTGAAGGTCTTGGGACCGTTGGCGGTGGGGATGACCACGTCGAAGGTGGGGAGCGAGGGCAGGGTCTTGCAGTCCACGGTGGCCTCGCCCTGGGGCGACGGCAGGTACTATTGATGGCGGCGGTGGCGATCGATCACGCGGTAAGCATTGCCAGTCTCGAGGGTAAAAATTTGGCGAAAAATGGAAAAGAAAGGAAAATCATTTTCTTTTAAAAAAGAAAAGGGAGTACGTACGGTGCAGATGTACTTAAGGAGGGCGACGATCTCCTGCTGCGAGGGATCGGTGCCGAGGATGGCGTCGATGGTGGAGACCAGCACCTTGCAGAGCTGGCACGAGCCACCGGGGCACAGGTCTAGACGCGTGTAGCGCCACGTCAGCAACCCAAGGAAAATGAAAAGAACGAGAAAAGGAAAATGAAAAGAAAAGGGGCTTGGGTGACGTACTGACGGCAGAGCAGACCTGGTCGGGCTGGAGGCCCTGGAGGATGTACTGGATGATCTGGCCGGCGTACTGGTTCACCAGCATGTCGCACTCGGACTCGAGGATGCCGGTGGCGTTGATCATCTTGTTGATCTGGGCCACGATCTTCGACGGACCAGCAAGGAGCTGTTGCCAATCAAAAAACCCATCAGTATTGCGCGCGCGTGCGATTGTGTGCGTGTGCGTGTGCGTGTGCGTGTGCGTGTGCGTGTGCGGTTGGCAGAGGGAGAAAAAAAAAGTGCATACCGAAGTGCCGGTGTCGGCGATGGCCTTGCAGCCGCCAGCCGGGCAGAAGCCCATGGACTTGCCGTTGATGAGGAAGTCGTGGGCCAGGAACTGCCAGTAGCCCTCCTTGGTGATCGGGGTGTAGGTGAAGTCGCCGGTGTAGTGGCTCTCGTCGACGCCACCCAGCACGAGCTCGCCGCCGGAGATGCCCGACGGGTCGCGGTTGAGCCAGAAGGCGAACACGGGCTCGGCCACCTGGCTCTGGGCCAAGAGCGTGTACCACACAGGCGGCACGCCGTCAACGGAGATGGTGTCGAAGCCGAGACCAAGGATACCGTCGAACTGTGTGTCGTGTCGTGTCGTGAGCAACCGCACACACGCAATCGCACACGCACGCGCACGCACAGGCACGCATGGAGTGGCGGAGGCGAGCGAACCTGAGCAGCGACGAAGGCAAGACCGGGCTCGGCGACGGCCTCGGCGAAGAGCTGGCCCTTGGCGGTGAGGCCGGCGATCACGACGTTGTCCGCCGACAGGAAGCCGGACATGGCGCCCGAACCGTACTGGATCTGGAAGTTGGTGCCGTTGGCCTTGTAGGTCGACGACTTGCTGTGATCGTACTTGTGGTGCAGATCTACACGTTTTGGTTGTTTGTTTGTTTGTGTCGACCACAACCACACGTGTGAGCCAAAGGCATGCTAGGAATTCTTCGCGCATGGTGCGATAAAAGAGAGAATGCAAAGAATGATGGAGAGAGAGAGAGAGAGGGTACATACCGCAGGCGATCTCGTACCAGGGGCACTGGATCGAGGGGACCCACAGGTTGGACGAGCCGGTGTCGAGCACGACGTTGAAGTACTGGGGCGGGTTTCCGATGGACTGTATGTAGCACAAGAATAGAAATACATAGAAATAAGTAAATAAGTAAATAAGTAAATATAAAACCCGTGAGTGTCTTTCCTTTTCAGTCAAAAATAATAAAATAAAATAAAAAATGTAGGACTGCGTACGATCTCGCCGTAGTACTGGGCGTCCAGGAAGTTGGAGATGGGCTCGACGCCCTTGCCGCCGCCGAAGACCTCCTTCTTCATGGCCTCGACCTTCTTGAGCTGTTGGTTGGTTGGTTGGGTCCAAACGAACACGCACGCGCAGGAGGTCAGCACGCTCACCACCAACTCCCACAAAAATTGCGCACACGCACACGACCGCACACAGTCGACAAAAAAGAGATTACGCGGACATAGAGGGAGTGGGGTTACCTCGGCCTTGCGCTGGGTGTAGTGGTAGGCCAGGGCCTTGGGGTTGGTCTTGAGGACCTCCTCGAGGCGGTTGAGCACGCGCTCCTGCTGGGCGCGGTGGTTGTTCTTGTGGACCTTGAGCTTGGCCAGCTCACCGGAGGCGAGCACGGCGCAGAGCGCGAGCGCCAGCGCGATGAAAAGCAGCCTGTAGGCGACACAAAAAAAAAGGCAAGTTAAGGTTGACCGGCATCTACTTATCTCATCACCTTAAATTCAATTTGATAAAACAAAGTGAATTTACATAAATTGGAAGCGCTGCATTGACCGGCACGCTTATGATCAGCAACCTTGATTCAATTTCAATTTAAATTAAGCAATGCTTGTAGATGTCAAGCGGAATTGCGGTGAAATGAAATAACAAAAAAAGATAGATCCACCGTCAAATACTTGGAGGAGGGATGAATGGGCACCTGGAGTACATGACCGGAGGGGAAAGAATAATACCGGGCCACAAAGCCCGTTTTTGTAGTCAATTTGGGTAACTTTAAGATGGCGGTCAATTGGGATTGGTGCAATCTCCCGCCTCCTCAAGAACTTCCATCACCTTTCCTTGGGTACAGCAAACCTGCATTTTACCGGCATTTCTGGACTAGCCGTTGAAGCACAAGCAGGAGACATACACCTTCATGTTGTCATCTGTGCTAGCAAAGGCATGGTTCTCAATGAGGATGATTGTGGAAAGTGATTGGCACCAGAGCCAAGCAGATGACAAAAGATGGGTGACAAAACAAGCAAGGCCTGTGGCCCAATGGAAAGGCGTCTGACTACGAATCAGGAGATTCTGGGTTCGACCCCCAGCAGGCCTGTAGCTTCTCCTTTTATTCCCAGACGGTCAGTCTTTTTTTGTCCTTTTTACTGAACCACCTTTTTTGTCGCTGCCACTATCGGAGTTACAGGTCTTTCTCATAAGGGAACTCTAATTCATTTTCCGGATTTACCATCACTTCACTTGCGAGCTCCCTTCGCCGGCGGTAAAACAAGACCCAGCACAATCAAGAGCAAGGAGGTACGTGCAGGGTTCGGTTCCGAGATCGAGCAAATGCGAGTACAGCTCGCGGTTTGTTTGCGTCTCTCTCTGCCCCTCGCCCCTCACCGCCGGTTGTTTTTTCGGGGGCTCCAGGATGGGAGACACAGGTGGATTGGAGAGCAGGGGCTCGAGGTTCGTCATGGGCGGGTATCGAGGCCAGCCTCGCAGCGAGGCCGATGCTGACGGTACACGACCCGCCATCTTGTCTCTCTTCATTCTTTTTTTCGCCCCCCCCCTGCAACGATTCAACCCTTCTCTCTTTTATTTTTTCCCTTCTTTGTGGTGAGCTTTCATTTGCCAAATTGGCCCAATATATTGTTGTAGAACATTTATATATCCATATATTGGTTGATATTTATCTTAATTTGGTTGGTTGGTGCAGAGAAAGCGACGACGCCCACTACGCCGCGCAAGAACGAATCGCCGATGACGCCGCGAAAGAGCGAAGACGGCGAGAAGAAGGCAGTGTCGTCAAACAGCGGCAGCAGCACGCCCACTAAGGAGGACCTCTCGCTCAAGGGCAAGCTGCCCGCCACGGCCGCCTCCGGTGCGCCCTTTCTCCGCCGCCCAACTCCGACTCATCCCATTTTGACTCCGACCGCTTCTTCGCTTTCGCTCTTTTGTGGCCCTGGGTGGTGGTGTTTAGTGGCATCTCCGCGGGGCGTGCCGCCGTCGCCATCGGCCGCGTCGCACTCGCCGTGGTCGCCCCGCGCCGGCACCCTCGACATCTCCCGCTACCGCGAGAGCGCCGACATCCTCCTGCTCCGGTTCGCTTTCGTTCTTCTTCGCTCTTTCCCCACTTTCTTTCCTTCGTTCTTCTTCGTTCTTCGCTGCATACAGTCGTGGCTCGCCTGACCCTCGCATTCGTGCGTTCGTGCGGATGGGCGCAGGTTGGCCAACGCCTTCTTCGACCTGGTCAAGAAGACGCAACAGACCCTTCCCGCCCTGGAGCGCACCAACGCCTTCACAGGTCTGCGGCCTTATATTATTATTTATTTATTTATTTATAATATGATATTATTATATTTATTTCTTTTCTTGGTGATCGTTACTATCCGTATAATATATAACATTTAATATATATTTTTATTTTTATAATCAATGTAAATGCAGGCGAAGAGATCCAGAACAAGCTGCAGGAGTGGCTGGAGTGCGACAAGGACACGGCGTTTCTCTACGCGTCGTCCCTGCTGCAGCAGGGCTTCCTCTTCCACGCCTCGCTGGGCGTGTTCATCGAGACGTCGATTGTATGCTACAACATCAAGGTTCGTCGACCACACCGTGGACGCACATGCGCGTGATCTTAACACTGTGTGCCTCGCGCGCGTGCAGGATCCGGTGCTCATCCACTACGCGCGTTGCATGCGACGCGGCCTGGGCAAGGAGTGCCTCCACCTCAAGAAGGGCGCCAGCTCCAAGAAGAACAAATGTACCACTGCGTGTCGTGTCGTGTCGTGTCGTGCGTGTCGTGTCGTGTCGTGGTCACCTCTCAACGTCCGGTGTGTGCCGGCACAACGGGCGCGCAGGCGAGGGCTGCTTCTCGGGCACGGAGGCCGTCGATTGGATGCTCCTTAACTTCCCGCACCTCGTCAAGAAGCTCCGCGTGGAGTCGGTCGGCAACGCCATCGCCGTGAGCGAGGCCCTCCTCGAACAGGTAGCACACACACACACACACACACACACACACACACACACACACCGACGACGATGCTCATCGCACATGAATGAATCACGTGCAGGGCATCATCGAGAGCGTGAAACAGAAGGCCGACTCGAAGAAGGTCAAGCCCTTCTGCCACGACGACAAGCACTTCTTCCGGTTCAAGGGCCGCCTCTTCAAGACCAGGTACTTCCTCACTCCTCTGCCCGTGCCGCAATCAATGCCTACTCACACGTTTCGTGTGCGCTGTGTCGGTGTGTGTGGTGTGTGTGCGTGTGTGCTGTGTGCGCTGTGTGCGTCGTGTGTGATCTTGTCTTGTGTAGGCCCGTCGATGGCAAGGCGCTGGTGCTTAATCCGCTGCCGGCGCAGCTCGAATTCATCGCGTGCGAGTCCCTTCTAGACGGCATCAAGCCCACCTCTCAATACATCACCTCCTCCTCCTCCAACTCCTCCGAACGTACGTTCCCGCCCCGCGCCTTTTGTCTTTATATTCTTGTGGCTGATGATGTGTGCCGTGCGTGCGCATGCGCGTGTGCGTGAATGATGCGTGTGGTGGTGTTGGGTTCGTGGCGTGTGTGTTGTCCAGTGCCTACCACCCCAGACAGCCGGAAGCGAGTGGGCTTCGAGTCTGCCGAGTAGAGCAACCAACCCTTTTGTGCCCTCATTCTAGCCTGCTCCCCCAAGTGGAATCAAAAGTGTATTTTCTACTAGAAGTAGTGTGCGCGGGGGCTTGTGGAATAGTGTTGGTTTTTTTGTTTCAGATGTGAAGTACAGAGGCGCGGGGGGGGGGGTTGAACGCAGCTGTGCGTCGTACTTACCATGACGTAACAATGCTGCATTGGTCCGGCCTACTTACATGCCGGGGGGAGGAGGACCCGCCCTGCCGCGAGGGGGCATCATGCCTCCTCTCGCCATGCCGCCCGGCGGCGCCGGACCAGGACCACCACGACCCCTCATACCACCAGGCGGCGGAGCTGCAAAATAAGAGAATAATAAAATAGAGAGAATGTGAGTTATGGTCAGACTAAAGGAGGCGGTCAGTGGGGGGGTTACCTCCGCCT